TGAAGCGAAATATATGGTCATGTTGGAAAGGGTGCAAAATAAGTTCACTAGGTACCTCTATATGAAACAATACGGCGTTTACCCATATTACCCACTAATGTATCCAACCCTGTTTATTGTAGGAATGGTTGGCTATAACGAACTGAGAGTCAGGCGGGATCTTGCACTAATATCTTATATGTTAAAACTTTTTAGAGGTAAGATACACAATGCTGAGCTTTTGGGGCAAATAAGCATGTGTGTTCCGGACGGATATGTGTGGCGGCGGCGGCGGCCGCAACTTCTAGCCGTACCGCGCGGGAGGAATAACATGCTAAACAAAGCTCCGATGACGCGCGCACTACGTACTCTCAACGTAATGGCTGACAATGTGGACATATTCTTTGGTACTTTGAGTGAACTCACAAGGGTAGCATTATTTGTACTGTGTAATGAAAATGTTTAGGTTAAGATAGAAATAGGTAAATAGGATATTATAATATAAAATTGCTTTACTATCGCATTAGGTAAGACCTGTAATGATAGTTAATAAGTTGTGGTAAATAAATAAATAAATAAATAAAAATTTTGTATTGTGTCTACTGTCTATTATCACATTAGTTGCTAGCAGTCACGTCCTACGCTATTATAACTTTTTATTGATTTAATTTTACTAAATATACCAAACTCGAGAATGTACAGGCGTGGGAAAGACAATATTCTTAGCATTTTAAAATGAGGACAACATGAGACATACGACACTACATTGCAGATACCTCTTTTTTAACAATAAAAACTTTCCCAAAGTCTGTGCCTTGCTCCAAATAATGAGACTGTATCTGAGTATAGATTCCACATACGCAAAACAAGCTCTCATGGCCGTGTATTTATTCGCCACCTTTGACAATTTGTAAAGAGCAAACGCAAATCTATTTATTTTAGTACACAATTTGTCCAATTGAATTTTTGGTCTATAATTAATCCCAGGAATGTCACATTGGTAGCGTTGCGCAAAATTTGTCCGTTATAATTCATGTCAACAAATTATTAAAATTCATTACCTTAGTCGTAGTTTCTTATTCTAGAAGATTATTTTTTTAAAAGCATTCAATTACTAAAGTCAATGTTTTAAATAATTAATTTTTATGTTCTTCCAATATTGATTTCTTGGAGAAGTGACAATCACTGATATATCAACTGCGAAAATAATTGATACGTCTTCCGTGCCAATATGTGATGGCATCGTTAATATACAGTAGAAATAGCAAGAGACGAAGTACGTTACCTTGGGGAACACCGTAATTATTACTTTTAAAGCCTGATTCATGCGTTTCAGTACAATTGGTCGTGTTAAGTTGGTTATATTTACACGTTGTAACCTATTTTATAGGTAAGATTTTAACCAACTCAACGCTGGCTCCCGAATTCCTTTTTGCTTTAATTTAGTTAACAATAAATAATTCATTCATTCATTCAAAAGCTCTAGATATGTCCAAAAATAGCCTCTTGAACATAGTTTATTCTTTATATGTATTTTACAAAAACTCGTTAAGCGAAATGCCGCATGTACTATTATTTTGTAAGATATATAAGCCAGTTGTATATGGCCTTTTCAAATATTTTCGATAAAACTAAAGGTATTCCGGTGGGCAAAATCGATTTCAGATCTCTCCCACTAAAGTAACCGAGAAGGTCACGGTAAGGTATGTCCGGGGACAGCGGGGAGGTATCCTCGGAAGATTTCCCCACAAAAAATTGTTAAGTTAGGTTAGGATAGTATCCCCCCGAATGGGTTCCCACCTTGTCGTGGCGGGGGGGCTCTAGTAGCCGTGGTCAATTTCACAGTTGCGGGGATGTTGTCCTGGCCCCATGGCCCCTGGGTAGCGGACTTGGGGGAGTTCGCTGCCCAGTCGGCTCGTTTGGTGTTCGGCGAGGCTTACATTTGGAGTCGGGGGACCGTTGCGTCTCCCTTCTCAGGGAGGGGCTGCGCTGGGCGCCGCCACCCGCTTGTGGTGCCTCTACCTGTAGCGGAGAGGAGGAACACCCCGAGGGTTTGATGCGGTTGGGTTGCTCCCCTTCAGGGTTCAGCCCAATCCCACATAACCCCTATCTGTAAGCAGATTCCCTCGGATAATAAAAAAAAGGCTAGTATATCCTGTTTAGGGCGCAGGCGGCTGACCTATGCCCGCTAACTGCCGCCCTGACAGTGAACCCTAGGTGGCAAAATCGAGGACTTTGTCACCCACTGGATGAGGGTTTACGGGTTGGTTGGCGTGCGAAGTATTCCCGGCATGCCACTAACGAAGGAAGGGAGATGGTAAGATTTCCCACAGGTGAATCCGCAGTGGCGAACAACCGCAGGCAGGCCGTGGATCATAAACCACGCGGCCACAGCCCCGTCTCATGCGAGGTGTGGGAGTACCCGGGGGTTTTTAGATAATCACCGCGCCTCCCGGTGACGCGGTGGTATCCATGACAGATTTTCCCCCGGAAAAAAAGTGTATCTTGTATAATCATAATTTAATTTAGTAATGTAACAATTATTAAATTTGGTAGCGATTTTTATCGGTCCCGTTATTTCTTTGTCCTTGTAATAATTAATAATTTTTAGCACAGCTATGTTACTACTAGCGTAATGCTTATTACTTTCCATGTTGCTTTACAAAAATTCTTGCTGTTTAGTATTTATTTTTTGTTTGCCATTATCTTAGAACATTTAATATATCTATTTAGTACTTTATTGTAAAGTTTATATTTGTATCGATCGTTGGTTGTTTACGTGGATATTAGTTAAAACGCAGTTGTGTATTACGGGTACAGTTCTTTTTCTGACCTTTTGTTACCAACGTGATTTTGATATTAATATCGATTCAACTTTTATTGTTGGCAAACAGTTTGAATATATTTAAAGTTATGATATATCGCTTATAATATTAATATTGTAATGTTAAAAATAGTTTTAGGCGCCAAGTTCTTTACAAAGAACAATTGAGTTTGTCTATTTAACTAACACAGTAAATTGAGATATTATAGATATGAATTAAGATATAAATAAGCATTCCTTGTTCTGACTGGTGTTATACAAAACATTAGCCATTTTTTAATTGAAATTTAGCCATTCTTATCACGAGCTCAATGTTGTGTAAAACACTTTATATCACAATGAGTTAAATTCACGGATAAAAAAGATAGACAAACAATGATAAGAAAAGAATGTTCGCATTTGAAAGCTAAATCCTAAATCTTATTCATGTTTGGCTTCATTTATAACTTTTAATTGTATCAAATTATTATATTACATTTGTCATATATACATAATTTTCAAGTTTATGTATTTCTGTTTAACCTTAATCGCACGTCACTGGTCCTTTCTTCCAAATTATTTTTCCTTTCCATTTGTTTTCCAAAAATTCCTCACGCAAACCGCGAAGTGAAGAAAAAATACAGTCTAGTTTAGCAGTTAGTTCTATTAAAATCTCTTTCTGTTTTTACCACATGACTATGGAGTTATACGCCTCAATGTTCAATTTAACTAGGTCTACAGGCATAAGTGTTAAGGAGGAAATTACTATTGAAATAGAATAGAAACTTCATAAGTGTCCTTTTAAAAACCAACTGTGACAAACTCAAAAAATGCGCAAGTTCTGCTGTCGGTGTCTGCAGCAGACACTGGTTCGAACTCATGATTTTAATCATAAGAATTTTTCTTTATGTTTGGTTTTTGCACCAATAATAATAAAAAACCAGTCTGTAATTAACTAATCCATAGATTTACAAAAAAATGTATGAAATTTAACTCCATGATGTAATAAAATAACATAAAATTATTTTATTTGAGCTTTGATCTGATAATAATAAAAAATATTTTATACAGAGCGTATTGAAAAGGGAAATGTTGCCAGGGTTCTGGACACGCACGATGCGTCATAATACGGACCTCGAAGAAATCTTCTGCTTATAAACTGTAGTGTTTAAATTTGTATGATAAGTTTGTCTATTTTTCTTTACGTGACTTGTAAACACTACTACTATTTTGAGCGTTAAAATTAAAACAAAAGTTTTCGTGTTACGTACATGCACTATCAAAGTTAATCATATGCGGATGTCTCAAATTTATAGCCCAATAAATATTAAGCATTGAATCACATTGTAAAATTTGATGATTCTAAAGCTCTTATTCATACATTGATAATGTTGTTTATCGAAGATAAATTTATAGTATAAAAGCTACGTATTTGTTTTCGTAAGTATAGTTTGGTCGACGCTCTGAGCTAACAACAGGTAACAACAATAAAATACATTATATTTATAGATCTACTAATGAAATAATCTTTACTCAGATCTAATCAAAGCATTCAATAAAATTAACTAAACTTTTGAAATTTCCTGAAATCTCAAAAAAAAATTCTTTTGTTGGCAAAAGACAGCTTCTTCGCGTTATTTCTTTGATAACCATAACTTATTATACCCAAATAAGCCAATATTATTAATGGTTCGAATAATTTAAGTATATTTTTAGTTTTTAATCCCCATGTCGCGTCTTTTTATTGTTATTATCATTAAAATCTAACGCTAAAGTATAAATTTCTTTGTTCCACAGGAAACATGAAATTCTTTCTACTCGCTGCCGCCGTCGTAGCCGTCGCCGTTGCCGGCCCGGCTAGATACGTCATCCCTGGACCAGGTGGCCCGGCTCCTGTAGTTCCTGACACCTATGAGCCAATTGCTGTCGGCCCCGCTATAGTTAAACCAGAAGTTTACGAGCCCATTGTTGTCGGCCCTGCTATTGTTGAGCCTGATGTATACGAGCCCATCGTTGTCGGCCCTGCTATTGTTGAGCCTGATGTCTTTGAGCCCATCGTGGTCGGCCCCGCTATTGTCGAGCCTGGCGTGATCCCAACCCCCGCAAGCTCTCCCCTTGTGCAGGTCATCCTTAACATCAACGCTCCCGCTGGAGCTGTACAGCCCCCAGTATCTCCCGTCGTTGACCCTGTCGGGCCTGTTGTAAACCCCCCTACTCCCATCTTCCCCATTGGGCCTGTGCCTGAACCTGTTGTCTTGCCCCCTACTCCCATCTTCCCCATTGGGCCTGTACCTGAACCTGTTGTCTTGCCTCCTACTCCCATCTTCCCCGTTCAACCTGAACCCCCTACTCCCATCTTCCCCGTTGTGGTTGAACCCGTTCTTATCGGTGATCTTCGCCCTGTCAACCCCGCCATCACCCTACCCGAGACTCTCAACTAAAGACTTCATTCAATTAATATAATGTAATAATAAGAGTACATTGGTAAATTTCTTCAAACGACTTAAAACGGCTAAATAAATAAATCTTGAATATAAAAAGTCTTAGTTTTATTACCCTTTGTTTTTTGTCGAGATCTTCATTTCAGTAAGATCAGTTTATTAAAAATGCGATCGCTAGGGAAGATAAATCCCTAAAAGGAACAGGGACCTGCTCTTCATATTACACAACACAGAGTTACCCGTAAAGATGTGTGAAATTTTTAAAAGGCGATTCTACACATTAATTCGTACATTTACTATTATATTCTGAAATAATAATAAAATTAGTCGTTCCATTTGGGTCGAGTAGGTATACATATTTGCTGATGGTATGATAGGGGACGGTAGAGGTAAATTGACTGGAGTAAATGAGACGGTGTTCACTTTAACTTGATGGATGTGCGGGTCTTTCAGAGCGCGGAATGTGCGAAGGCAAATCACGCACTCGGATTTATTTATAATTTACTAAGAATTTATTAACAAAAAATCCTATATAATTTACAATGTACAAACAATTTACATTGTTGCATTGAAAACACATTCTCAAACACAAAACACTTTTCAAACACTCTTGAAGGCTAATAAATTGAGGTTGTAATTTCATTTATCAAATGCCAAAATTTTTTCTTATGGAAATTATATCAGGGCGCCATTGACTTACAATATATGGACGTCGGGTCCGCGCTAAAAAGTGTCCGAACTTATAGGGCGTTAAAATCGTATATGTGGTTAAAGAATATTTATTTCTCTTAAGAATATAAATTCACTTACAGAGAAAATTTAAGATCTTACTTCAAAACTTAATAGTAAAGCGCACTAAAATCTATACAACCATCACCATTCACTGCGTATTAAGAAAAATAATGTAGGTAGACAAAAAATTAAAATCATACGTTTTAAGATGAATTTATCTGCAATTAGTTCCGATGCGGCCGGCATTCACACGCAACAAACAAAAACATGGATGTAAGAATTATGACTTATCCATCCCGCATCTAGATATGGCATAGACAGAATTCACTTTTAGGACAATTATTTAGTCACATTATTTATTTGTTTTTATTTTTATTTTTTTAACTTAACACTCGCATTTACTGTGTGTATTTATTATTATTATTATTATTATTATTTCTTTTTTTTAATGTATTACTTGTATTAGTTTTTTTTTTTAATTTATTTATTTTCTACTTATTTATATTTATTATTATTATAGAGCGTCATTCACGCTTTAGTCTTCGTTTGTTCGACTGACAGCGAAGCAAGCAAAATTAGACAGTACTGCGATGACATTACAATTTAAATTCAACGTTTTAGCTTTTTCATATTTCTTTACATGTCACTACGTTTAAATAGGTTGACTTGGGACATTTTTTTCGTGGTTTTTGCATTGACTTACAATTTTTGTCTTAGGATTTTTGTATTAGATTTTGTATTTGTAAGTCAATGCAGGGCACTGTCACTTTTGCAAAAGAAGAAAAGTAAACATTTATGTTCTAAATTAATATGAAAAAATAACCCAAAGGAAATATTCCGAACTTTCAGTTTATTACGAAAATTGTATATCGATCGGAATCTTATTACAGTATAAAGTTGGATTTAAATCTTAAATGTTGAGTTTGAGGTACTTTCTGAACGTTTCACACAAATTGCCTGGTCTCAAACTCGGAATTCCCTGTCGGTACTATAAGTACCTGAGCAATGAAATTGACCCTGGGGCAAATGCCCTGGACCAATTTAGAAAAGTTCATTTCCCAAATTGGTCCTACCGGGAATCGAACCCGGGACCTCCGTATCCAGTAGTGACACAATTTAAGCCGTTATGCTACCGAGGTTCTCAATATTTACATTTCACATTGATATTTTATATTGTATTTTATATTAGAATATATACAGGGTGTAACAGCAAGGTGTAGTCATATTTGAAGGTCGGATTCAGTTAATGGTATGAAACTATTTAGCAAAGTTGTTTTAGTACAAACTACGTTATTTATGGAAATTTCGCCATGAACAGTTTCGATCAGCTGATGTCATTTAACGAAAATAAATAGTCACATCACATCTCTATTGAGTATCATAATACAACCAAATTACGTAACTTGAAAAAATTGTGAAATTCAGGCATGTTATTGTAAATGATAAAGTACTTAATGCCATATTCTTATTACTATGTTATAATTTACTAAATTTATTATTATTTTATTCATGTAATATGCGTGTGAACATTTAATGAAAAATAAATATTATCGATTACTTTGCCAAAATACACTAGTTCATAATAAAACTATTATTTAAAACTTAGTACATAATAACGTAATATGGTTTCGTTAACTTCATATCTTCAAACATACAAAATACACAAATTTCCATTTAATATCCATTAATAAAACTAATGTCCTCTAAAAAACACATATTTAAAGTTATCTCGGTTTCTTTTTACCATACGCATTCATCTATTGTATTTTAATGAATGAAATTTGTCTCTTTCTATCCGTCGGTACTGTTCTAACGCATGGCGGCGTCGGTATGTTTCTTCTAACGCATGACGCAATATGACGCAATTATCCGACTAATACTTCGCACCCTTACAATGAAAGCGACCCAAATCAAAAAATTAAAAAATGAGTTTATACCGTAAAACCATCTTAAAAAAATATTTTGTTACATTAGTCACACTGTGGTGAAGATGAAATTGTGCAATTAAAGCTCGAATAGCACTGATTCATAAAGGTCCCTTTCATTTTGTTCTTTCAGTTTAAAAATTCTACTCCCGCGTCGAAATATTAACGCCGCATTTATTGTTGAATCTGCATTTGCAAAGACAACACGCTGCCACTGACGGATTAGCATTTGAGCCATTTTCGTTCCGAAAATCATATTCAAAAATCACTAGTAGCAGTAGAGCTCCTTGTGAGTTCGTCCAGGGTAGTACTGCCACATTACCGTGTTACAGTTTTGAAGGGTAAGGGTGCTGGTGAAATTACAGGCACATGGGACTTGTCAACTATGTCTCAGAGAGATGGACGCCGTAGCAGTAGCCTTCGAGCGGCAGTGCTACTGTTATGGACAGGCGTGACGCTTTCCACCGGGTACACGACTTGTTCGACCCGTCGCTTAATATTTAAAAAAAAAAAATTTTTTTAGTAACTTACTTTTTAAAGGGACTTACTTTTTTGTTTCGTGGACTTTCTTCTTTTTTAATTGTGAAACAGGGACCACAAAACAATATCAAGGGTTATGACATCTTGCTTAGCTGATGAACATTAAAAAGACTTAATTCTTAATACGTTAAATGATAACAAAAAATCGTTAAAAAAAAGACCTATTGGCGACTAGTTTTTGTAAATTATGTTTTTAAATTGTTGAACATTAAAATGATCAGAAACAATTTTCAGTTGTAAAGTTCCATTTTTCCTCATTATTTTCAAAGACTAATAAGGCCATCACCTTTAGTACTTCAAGAGTAGGTAATAAATAAAATAATATGAAAATATGAAAAAACTTGAAATCTTATTTTCTTTTGAATTCCCAAAAAGTTGAAATTTTGTATTGGGACACTTTCATCGTAAAGGTGCAACCTGAAGGTCGGTAAACGTCAAGAAATTAGTTTTGATCGTTGACCACGAATTAATTATTGTAATTTTAATTTAATTTAATTTTTTTTTATGATTGATTTAGTGTCTGTTTAAGTATATCTAAATGTTTTAAAATGAATGTTGAGCACAGTAATAATTGGGCGCAGATATGCCTGTTGTATTAATTTTTAAGTGTTTTTATTTTCCTCACTTTCTGTATCTGATGTCTGTACATTGTGCCATAAATAAAAAATAAAAAATAAAAATAAAATAAATTTTCATCACTTGCTTGGAATGAAAATATCGTGAGAAAACTTGGATTTCGGAGATAATTGCCGAAATCTTCAAAGATGCGAGAATGTCAAGTTTCCAACCAGTACTTACTATGCAAGTGCAGTGGACTAAACCTTGTGCAAAAAATAGTACTTTACTAACTTACATACGTCTATTGCTGAGCGCACGTTTCTAACAACAGGCTTACGCTTAATTTGACTTATCTACACACGACAACTTTCTGGGTATGGGTTTATTACATGGTGAAATTGAAATAATTAATATCCGTTGAACCTATTAAGGTTCTTACTTCCTAATAATATCTACTCATCTAAAGAAATATTTTAGAATAGTTTAAATTAGCAATACTGTAAAACCATAAAAAATCTTACCTAAATAAACAAAGTATCAAGATTAGTCGCCTTGCGTACGCGATACGTAATCGTAGCGAAGTCGCAAGCCTTTGGCGGCAACTTTGGCGGCAAAAATATCACCTTTGATTTTCGCCGCCAGCATTTGATTTTATACATGGTGATGTGGATTAGTGGTTAATGTTAGACTCGTTTCGGAGGTCGTGGATTCGATTCTCATAGTTGACTGGCTCTATGGGGTAGTTGTTAGAGTGTTAGGTTTTCTTTGCGGATGTCGTAGATTTGATTCCCATAGTCGACTGCCTCCATAGTCTAGTGGTTAGAGCGTTAGGCTTTCTTTTCGGAAGTCGTGGATTTGATTCCCATAGTCGACTGCCTCTATGGTGTAGTGGTTAGAGTGTTAGGCTTTCGTTTCGGCGGTTGTGGATTTGATTCCCATAGTCGACTGCCTCCATGGTGTAGTGGTTAGTGTTAGGCTTTGTTTTCGGAGGTCGTGAGTTTCCGATGGGTGACTGCCTCCTTAGTGCAGTATATCCGTAATCACTCAGTCAGTTCTTGCATTATGTGGAAGTGGTACGGGTGATGGTCAGAGCTTGTTTACAAACAAAGGCGTATGCAGTGCAACGTTGAAGGTCGTAGACGTAGGATATAGGTATTCGTTTAATGTGTATGTAATGATGTAATTTGTATCAGGAGAAGGGTCTTATTTCAAAAGGATGGTAATAATTTTAATTTCACCCTGTAGGTACATTATGAAAACGTTACCCTATATTCCAAAATTTGCGTTTCAGTCGGCGTCCTTTGATG